TTGCTAAACTCTCAATTGAGAGTCTTTGAAATAGATGGAGTATATGCTGTGACCATATGGGTTGTACTGTGGTAGGGAATCCTGATACTTGTCCAGGAGCTACCCACAGTTTGATAATCTGTTTCTGATAAGATTATTAGTAGTGAAATAGTGGATCTCCTTGTTTGAAGCCAGATTCACTGACTTAATCTAACACAGAGCTGGAAGCTTGGGGAGGAGGTCTTGTTATATTAATAACGTGTTCTCACAGCATGAAATGTTAGCATCAGATGAGTCAAGAAATATCTTCTGAGATCAAAATATTAATTATTGTCATTGGACTAGAAAATCTATCCTACATGCCATATTGAAGGGATTCTTCCTTGGCTCATGGAAATACTTTGCACTCAGCAGAAAAGCTATTTGCATGGGTTCACATTTTAAATGGTTCTATTTGCAGTGACAAGAATTGGAAATTATCTGTATTTTTATAACAAGTCTATGTTCTACAGACCTTCGTAGTGCTACTAGAAAAGTGCCAGTGTGGCTTACCACACGCTGCTGGTTCAGTTCAACTCTGCCACAGTCTGTGAGAAAGCAACATTGAATGTTGCCAAGACTACTGAAATCTGCTGGTTTTAAATGAAAGGTATTACTCTAAGCTCAGAGAAAGATTGCAGAATTGCATAAGAAACAATAACATTGAAATTAATAAAATTTCTGGCATCATGTATATTTAAATCCCAATGTGAACTTAATTTTCCAGTATGTAAGATAGTGGGAACTGAGGTATTTTAGACTCTGGAATCATGCTTCTGGCAGACCAAAATACCAAAGTAACACAGCTGCAAAATTGCTGGTAACGTAAAATAGGAGATACTTTCTTTTAAATGTACAATAATAGCATATGTTGCTCAATAACAGTTTTACTGCTTAGATGTGCAAAGCAAAGATAAGAGAAATAACCATGACTGTTAAATAAGCTTGCTTTCATCACATCGCTTGACTCCTGTGTTGCAGTTAACGTTCAGCAGTGGTCAAAGTGGTGTAATCTTCTGAGAACCTACAGAGCATCGCACCCCCCGTCCCCCTTCTCCGCCACTTTCTTTTCTGTATGAGAAAAATCTTAAATCAAGGACTTGATTTAATTGGGATCAATTCAAGAACTGTTAAATATTTCCTTGTTGAAGGAGAAGGGTGTTTTAACTAGCTGTGATCTTACCAGTTCTGTTTCTGGGCTCTGCTCTTTGAGGCTGGATCACCTTTCTGTGAGTTTGTTGTTCTTTGTTCATTCATGTAGGTTACATTATATAGGTAACTTAACTGCAGGTTTCGGTTTATTCTTTATTGCAGCTTTGGAATAGTGCCTATTAGCCATTAGATGACCACTGTACCATTCTATTAAATATAACACAGAAACAAAGTTCAAGTATTTGTGCAAAGATCAGTACAAAATTAAGAACTTACCCTAGGAACAAATTATTTGTGAAGTTGAAGTGCCCTGTCAGTGCATCACACCAGTAGGAATTTGTCAGATTCCTTATATAGGTTCTACCCCCCAGCTGGGAAACCTGTAATAGAAAACATGTTTTTTATTGTATTTATTTCTCTGAGAATTTTGCTCAGACATCTTATATCCAGGTTGGTAGTGAAGAAAGAGAAATCCCCTGCTGTAGTAACAAGAGCCTTGTAGTTTGGGCTCTTCTTGTCTAGGAAGTTCCTGACTGGTGGGAATAATTTATGTTTATGGGAGATAAACTCCTATATGTACGTAAAAATCTGACCTGCAACCTACTCGCCAAAAGAGCAAGTGAGAAAATATGGAAGTCATGCTTTCTTAATAATTATTCTTCATCAAAATCTTCATTACATTGCACATTATGAACTTTTATCAGAGAAGAACATTGCTGAACCAACAAGTAAATGAAGTAGAAGGGGAGAGGTGTAGGAAGAAGTTTTTCTTAGTCCTTTCTGGCCATCTGAAGGGCTATATTAAGACCTTGCCAGCTTTGTTCCAGTATTTCAAAGGTTAGCACGCAGAAGGTAGCAGTGAGGATGCACTACCTGGGAGGGATGTAGAGACATTGCTTGAAAGTGCAGGGTGAAGACAGGAAAGCCGAAGCTCAGCAGAGATGCAATTAGCTGTGAAAGGTACAGAGCACCGCGGTCCCTAAAACCCAAACTATTGCATTCTCTTTCTCCTTTCTCCCTGCTCTTATGGGTTTGTTGTGCAGGGTTCCCCCCCTCCCCCCTACTTGTTAAAACACTAGGACGAGCTGAGGAAGGTAGGCTTGCAGACAAAGAAGTGAAATGCAAAATATTACCTATTAATCTGTTTGTGGTTTAGTCTGTTTGCCAAAAAGCCTATTTCTGCCCCTGATTGCAAGGGAGGGGAAACCCATTATGGATTTTCATTTCTGTCCCGAGTTGCTATGCTACAACTACTGTTCCTTTTGCAATGTAATTCAGCATTCACAATCTTTGGTGCCTAGATAAAACCATTACTGTGGTGCTGCCTTTTTTTTTTTCCTCCTCTGAAAGCTTACTTGCTGGTGACTTTGTGAATATTCATTACATGCTTGTTTTGTTGCAGAGGATGTTGATACATTAGTTCATCTTGACTGATGCCCTTGACTTCAGAAGATAAATAGCAAAGTAGAGATAGGTGACAAGGATTGATTAGCATTCCAGCTCCTAAGCCAAAACGTAAACACTTGTAGATAAGCCAGTAGCAAAAGAGCCTGCAGAATGCACCTTGGTGGAAATAAGAACACGTTTTAAGGTGCAAGAGGAGTTTTCTGTGGCTGGCAGGATACAAGTCTTTATTGGATGCTTCCTGTTAAAGGCTTATGTTCACCAACAGTTTACTTCTCGGAAAATGAGTTTCCTAGTTTTGAAAAATCACACATTCCATTAATACAAATTAATAACTCTTTAAAGGAGTGCAAATTATAATTTGGACAGTGAAATGTATATGTGTTAAACTGAGCTCGAACCAATATAATTGTACATTTGTAGGAGTTTTAATGAATATCTTTGCTTTACTGCAAACTTGGTAGGCTATTTCAGAAAATGATCCTTCAGTCTAGTGAGTGGTGAGGAAAGGGTAAATAGGGACCGATGTGCCCCATCACTTGTGAGAAACTAGATGTTCAAAACACAAGCTGAATGAAATGCTGCTTTACTGGCAGCTAAATGGTGGGACTTCCTGCCAGAGGATATTGGATGTCCGAAATACACATGGATACAACAAACAATTAGACAAATTAATAAATGTAAAATCGATTTTGGTATGGTGTATGCAAAGGACCTGCGGGCACCTCAGACAGTCTTTGGGAGGCATAAATTGCTGGGAGACAGTGTCAAAGAAATACTGTAAACTCATTGTGTAAATTTTGTATTAGGCATCTGTTCTTGTCAGGTCTTGAGAGATGGCACGGTTGGTCCGTTGGACCATTGATACGACCAAGAGCGGTTGTCATACCGTAAAAACCTAGAAATAAGGTTGTCTCTGCTTTCTGCAATCAAACCTGGAGCAGTCCGTCTCCTGCCGTGCCACTCAGAGTTCCAGGTCACTGCCAGTCATCACTACTGCCCTCTTAAGAACTGTACAAGCCGGCACTGCCACCCGAAATCCTTATGCACCCTGTCCCCAGCTGCTAGGTCCTGCTGTCCCATCACCCACAGGAGTGAGGGCGAAGGGAAGGACAGTACGAGAACAAGCAGCAGAAGCACCTCTTCTGGTAGTAGTGTCAGCTCAAAGGGCTTGCAGAGTTTGGCAAAGATGTCAGAGCATCTTTTAAAAAAAATACGCATTTTTTTGTAGTCCGTGACTGCGCTGGAGGGGACAGTGACACACCGCATGACACGCTGCATGACTACTGTTACCTGGTCCGCTGAGGATGTTGTGGGTTTTACTATGAGTAGTGCCCCTCAAACCTCAGCTTTTGCTGTTGCTTTTTGTCTGAAGCGCTGTACGCAGACCACTTCTTCATTCATCTCTAGACTACCGTATGGGTATTTTGACTCCATTAAAGAAAATGCATAAATGCCTTTAAAAATCAGTGAAGATTAAATTTTACTCTCAAACTGAAATGATTTCGTGATAAGCAGTCTCATATACCCTATACAGAGAAGCATCCAGTTTAGCTTTATACTTTAGCTATCCTAGCCCTTCAGATGATTTCTTTTGTTCTTCCTGCCTTATCTCCTTAACTGGGGCATGAAAAATCCCTCAACCCCCCCCCAAATCCTCCTCAGATTACATGGATATTGTGAGTACAGGGTGCTTTAGCATATGTATACTTGCTGTCAGTGCATGCTTACTAAGAAATACAGGACACTATACCTAAGCATTTAACTGTGCAGTCTGTGGGTCTTCAACCGCACTGTGGTGTGAAAGGCTACTGTTACCCAGGCTTTACAAAAAAGAAGGTTGCAGAAAACCGAGTTGTCCAAGTTTTTGGAAGGATTTAGGAGTGGATCTCAGGTTCTCCGTGTCTTAGTCTAAGCAGCCTGTCTAGTGTACTTCTGCACCTTTCTAAGCTGTCCTGCTCTTGTGCATCTCTCTTCCCTCCTTGTGACAGTTTGTTTGCTGCAGGGATTTACGCTGGCAGTAAGGTTGTCCTGTCTTATTTCCTTGTCTCTTTACAAACAAGGGAGGAGAGGATGAAAGCATGGGAAAATGTGTACCTGCATACCTAAGAAGGAAAGAGGATTTGGTAGCTTTCATGTAGATCCACCATCGCTGACTGTCTCTGTAAACAAATCACTTACATGGTTATCACATTCTATGTTTATGCAATGGAAATAACCCAGAACTCAGGATCAATAAAGCATGCAAAAAAGAAAAAAAGTTACCGTCCCAAATGACACAAACAGTCCTTTATCCTATGATCTCATTCCACTTGTATTTTCCTGGTACATTCGGTGCCAATGCTCTCTGGGGATGCTGGGGGTGGGTGAAGTTTTATGTATGTATTACTTTTAAAATGAATTGTGTACAAAATTTCTCTTTTCAGTTGTATATGAGCACAGGTCAAGATTAGAAAAGTCATTACAAAAGGAAAGGCTTGAACATAAGAAAGCAAAAGAAGGTAAAGTGCTTTTCACTTCGACATTTAAGATAACTTGATTACTTTAGAAAGTAACTTCAGATGTATTTTGTTCCATTTTAAATGAGTTACCAATGTATAACACATTAGCAGGACCACCTTGGCAGATCTGTGGTGGTCTTTTTAGTACATCTCTTTATTTATTTTTTTAACTCTTGAAAAAGTATTCATCATTTTAGTACTGTTTACAGATCACTGCAACATGGCATAGTATACATAGAGAATATGTATATATCAATGTACATAAACCTAACATGTATGTGAAATACGGGCATATGTAAATCCTGTTCTGGCATGCTGAAGATTTAAAACTTGTACCAAAAACATGGGATCTTTTCCTGCATTCCATCAATGTGAAATTAGACCCTGAATCAGAATTTTTACACATGCTTAAGGGTAAACACATGCTTACATTCTTTTTCCAATTAAAACTAAGTTCTAGTTGTGTGTGAGGGGGAAATGTTGGCACACATTGTATTTCTTACACGTCTGCCCTCTATGAAAACTTCAGCAGAATGTAATCCTCTGAGTTCTCTCTGAGTCTTTTGTTATGTTGAATTCACTACGATTTTCAGAGTAAAGCCTGAAACTTAGGCTAAACTAAGGCTAAAACTGAGGACTCAACCGCTGAATTAAAACAACTACTTTAGCAAAGAATAAGAACCTGTAAGAAATTATTCTTACTGTTCAGTTCTCGATAGCTTTCTGGTGCCATCTAGTGTAGAGCTGTCCCATTGCTATGCAAGGGTGAGTTGGCATTTTCAAATCCTGAAAAGAAGATCAGGGAACGAAAGGGGAAATTTTTGTTTTATTTAAACTTAGTCTAGACTTTCACACTTCTTAAAGTACGTTTTTTTTATCCTAATGCAAGAATACGCGATTTATAAATGTCTTTTTACTTTTGAATGATGCTTTTGAATGGGCCTCTACTGAGAGAGTTCATGTAACAGATTTAATATATATATTTTATATATATATACACTATATATATAGTGTATATCTCACACTAAGATATGAAAATATTTTATGAAACTATGAAACTCTTTAATTAAAATATTTTGTCAAAATTTGAGCATTTAATTAAACTCTCTGTAGCTTTTTTTTTTAAGATCTTTTGGAAAATTGTAACTACTTAAGTATTCAGCTCTTAAGAGAATTTATGTACGCAACAGTTATATTATTTAAGTACAGATTCTAATCTTCGTCAGTTTTAATCAGTATTTTCCCTTTTATGTTGTAGATTTTCTTGTTTATAAACTAGAAGCACAGGAAACGCTAAATAAAGGAAGGGTAAGTCATCATTCCTAGCACAATTTTTTAATAGTTGATGCTATTTGCGTCGCAAGAAAAAGGAAATACTTTGCAATTATAACTGTTCAAAGGAAGAGGTCTTACAAAATACTAATTGAAAGAGCTCTCACTTATCCCATTTCTACTCTGCATGCATAAGTGCTTTGCAATTCCTTATCATTTGAGCTGTAGTAGGAGTTACTAATATCTTTCCAGAAAATTAATTTAGAAAATATCCTCCTGTTTATATTATGGTAATTCAAACATAATGTTACTATTTTTAAGGGGAAGGGGGGAATAAGAAGGCATCAGAAATCTTCTTGTAGCCTAGTCCACAGGGAAAAGGACAGTGACAACTTTCTAACACGTGGTCTTTCAACTGGCAAGTATAAAAACATCAAGAAACTTTGTTTTATATACCAAGTGCCAGAAGGAAAGCTGTATCTGGCAAAGGACTGAGAGACCTGTAGAGAAGTCTTTATAAAGTGAGTAAATTAGGATTTTATGGCTACTTCATGTTGAAACTGGGGAGCAGTTTGTGAGCTGAGTAACCTAAGTTAAAATACGTTGTTGCCGCAGTAAGCGCAAAGTGTATATGCTTGCTATGTTCCAAAGCAAGTGGAGAGATTAATTTGTTTCCTGGGGAGTTAGGTCCCTTTGCTTGTGACTCCTAAATAACTGCATGTACAGAGGTTAGAGAAATTGACAGTATTGTTCTGTTTAACACTAGTGTTTTTATTTTACAGCAAGACTCAAATAGTCGATACAGTGCACTCAGTGTACAACACCAGATGTTGAAGGTAGGTAACTGAGAAACCCAGTTTCACAGGACACTGGTATTCTGCAATGTCAGGGAGATACAGCCTCACTGGCTCCTGATAATTCACTCCAGAATGTCAGTACATCGATGGTGCCTTCCTCTTACAACAGTACCGTTAAAAGATGATTTACTGCAGTTTTTCTTAGTCAGGCTTCCCAGTGGGTAATTTAATCTTATCAAATGCAATTACCTGTATGGTATGCTGACTTATCAGACTTTACATAGTTTGGCATGTAAGGAATTTCTTAGACACATTCAGCAGCTCCCAGTGGGACAATGCAACTGCAGGGTGAGGTGACATAGCCCTAGAACAGGAGACTACTCATCACAGAGATCATTCTGTGTTTGAGAGGAGCTGCAATATGCATGCTTTGAATAATAAACTTCTTGTTATGAATGCTTCCTATTCATCTGGACTTATTTAACAAATTGCCAAAGACAATATTAGCCAGATATGCAGATACAGAACTGTTCCAGTTTCCAACTTGGTATTTGCAGAGTCAACATGAAGAACTAAAGAAACAGCATGCTGACCTTGAGGAAGATCACCGAAAACAAGGAGAAGAGTTTAGCAGAACATTCAATGATCACAAGGAGAGATACTTGCAACTGCAGCAGGAAAAAGAGCAGGAGATCTCTAAGCTGAAGGGTAAATGCAACCTGTATCTGGCTGTCCATATTAAAATGTGTATTTGTCATTGTGTTTTGTGTGATGTGAAACAGAAAGGCATCATCTCTGTTGTCACTAACAGGTCATTCATGCATCTTATCCCTCCTGATGATGTTACATTTTCTTGATGATTTTCTGTGGCCTCTTTCTGAATTCATACGTGCACTTCGTGTTTCTATCTAGACTAGAGAAATAGTAAGAAACACAGCACTTAAAAGCCCATCAACTGTCAGAGGATGGTTTATTCAGTCTTTCATTTTTAGTTCTAAGACTTGTATAAACCTGGAAAGATAGACGTGCCTCTTTGCCTTTCATTTACAAAAAAGGGTAATCTAAGAATGCCACTTCTATCAGAGTTAATTGTGCCTCTTTACGAAGTGACTTTACATACCTCATTTTTAGACCTAATTTTCTCATATGTATCAATTTCTCTGAAACGTTGCATCTGTGTACTTGGAAGATGAAGTATTAATTTTTTACTCTTGGCGTCCAGTTTCCTATTAAAGAGATTCTTTGCAGTTCGCAGACCTCTTCAATCCTAATTACACAATTGCGTAGAACAAAAGGATGAGGCTTTCTCCATCAAGGGCCTTCAGCCACTTTCTGCTGTGTGTCACTAACACATGAGTGAGTTAGTTTTGGAGCTGTCTGCCGTTTTGTCTGCACAGTATTTTGCAGGCAGAGGCTGTGTTTATGGGTTCTGCCTTGGCACCACACCAATGAAGTCATACAGCTAGCTCTTGGACTGAGCTGGATTGCTGCCTAGCAGCTTGGAGTGTGGGAAGAGCTTGCCTGTGTCTGCTTGCAATATTCCACATCAACATAACGTAAGAAGCGGGAAGAGAAGCCCCTCTCCCTGGTCCCAGAATGTAAAGCTTTTTAAGTATGCTGGCCATCTGGGCACCTCTTCCAAAAGAATAGCTTAGTCTTATGACATAAAATTCTCGCTCACCAGATGCGATGTGGGGGAAGAAAGGAGGGTGGCTTCCTCTCTGCCTTTAAAAGATTCAGATTACCGTAATGAATTTTGCCGTCTGCAGTCCCTAGCGTGAACAGTGATGCATAATTCCAGTTGCAGACTGGGGGCACTAATATGAAATTTTCTGCTTGAAAATGTAAAGCTTTTTATGGGGCTGGGGAGAGATGTAATGTAAACAAACCATACAATTACTCTAATCCATTTTTACTGTAGCAATTGTGTAGGATTTTATGTAGTTTGTGTTATAGTCTTAATTTTGCCCTTTAATCTAGTAGTATAAATCTGACCGGGTTTAAATTCTCTATGTAATTTCTTTTAAACAGAATCCCTGTATAACTTACGGGAGGAAAACAGACAGTTGAGAAAAGCTCACCAAGACATTCACACCCAGCTACAAGATGTCAAGGTAGGCTTTGTTTTGAGGAGACTTTCAAGACCATTAAGAAAAGAAAAATTTTCCCAAGTTTTAACAAGCCAGAAATGGGCTATGCTGAAGACTTGTAGTTTCTGTTTTGTGGCAAAAAGGAGAAGAATATGGCTGAACTGGATTTCTTGTCTTTTGCCAGCTGCACTTTAGGTACATGCTCTTTTTTTTTTTTTAAAAAAAAAAGTAGTATTTAGTATAGAAATTGGAAATGGAAGTTTGATTTTGCAAGTTATGAATTGTGTTTTGGCAAACTAAGTTTGCTGAAATTAATGTTTTCCAGCTCTTATGTTTTTTTAAACGATCATCAACTTCTACTCCAACTTTTAACTTTATTTGTTAAGCAAATCCCGGCCTCTGAATTTTCTTTCCTGGCGTGCTCACTTTCTCTGTCTAATATGCATCCCATGTTAAATAAATAAATGCTGTCATTCCAACTCAGGATTTTCTTTTCGAAATAAATTGAATTATCTTCCTAGTTCAAAACCCCCCAGGCTACCTAATTTACCTTTAGAATGAACTTTATGTGAAACATGTAATGTTCTTCTTTTTGTGTAGCAACAGCATAAGAACTTACTCTCCCAACACAACCAGCTTGTAGTGACATTGGAAGACCACAAGAGTGCACTAGCTGCTGCACAGGTCAGAAAGGAAAGCAGCTTCTACTGGCTCTAACCTTCCTAAAACTTGTTTCTCCTAGTTCAGCTGACTGTAATGTTTTGCATGTAGCCTTTCGCATGGGGAATTTGCAGTTAGCACCATGCTGCACACTGCAGGGAAATGCATGAGTTAAAGGGTTGCTCTTAAAAAGAAGCTGCAACAGATCATAGGGCTGTCAGAAAATAAAAAGCTGTGTTATAGGCCCAAGAATGCATGTATTACTGATAAGAAGAGTATCTCTGCTTCCATGAGAGCTGTCAAATACCTTTCTTTCTCTGTCTTCTCTGATAGAACTTCTCTTGGTTTAACATCCCATACTCTGACATTCACATGTATCACTTATGAAGACCTGGATGCTGGTATACTATAAAGTCTCTTTTTGTGGAGAGATTTATAAGGCTGTATACATCAGTGCAACAGAGGTAGAGTATATATGGAGGAATGTAAACTCCAGGTGGAACTCAAATTAATTAAAAGGAAGCAACAGCATTACCTTTCTTGAATGTCATTTTCAAGTGAACTAACCATGAAGTGCAAACTTTGCTAGAGTATTGCAGATTCAGTCAGGTGTGCTAGTACAAGCTGTGTGGCCCACAGGGAATCTGAAAGTAGGAGTAACGTTGGAGCAGAGGAAGACTATTGGTGAAAGATCAAAGGGAAAGGCAATGAGGCAGTGTGAAATTATTTTTATTCCTGATGAATTTTCTTCATTTAAGTATTTTCATGGTCCACAAAATCATTAGCAGCATTAAAAGCATTGGATCTTTTTTTTTTCTGCTTGCGGTGCATATCCATATGTGTAGATATTAAAAAAACAGGGCAAGACCAGGAAGGTCCCTCATAGACTAAATATATGAAGAATCTTAATATCCAGTACTAAAATATGCTGGCAGCTACTTTTAAGCTCTTTTCCCACTGGCCACATTAGCTACTTGGTATGTATTTGCTAACATCTGAAATTCCACAAGGGCAGATGCAGGGTCTGATTTAAGGTTCACCAAATCCAAAGGGAAGCTCCATATACTTCTCCTGGCATTGATTCAGTTCTTTAATTAGAAAACCTGTGTCACACAAAGCCTTTCTATCTGCAATCAGAATGTGGCATTTTTCATATAGAGAACCTTTCCTTCAAGAGAAGAGTCTTGCACATTCTTTCAGAACAGAAGGTATGTAGCACAGTTGCATAGTTTCTCCTGCAAACCAGCTACAGAAAGTTCACAAGGGATTATTGCTTAGAAACAGAGCTCAATAAATGACCCCTCTATTTCTAAGTGTATCCTGGACATTAAATATCAATAGTCAATATTGCACTAATGAATTTGTCACCTGAATCTTTAAGGCATTGTAATCTTTGTATTTTTCCATAGCTCAAACAGCCAGTCAGATTCATTATATATTTTTATAAAGCCTGTCTTTCTGCCAGTATTAATACCTTTTAAGCTATGGCCTTGAATCACAATGTTCAGCTTAGCGAGTCGTGCAGCAGAACGGAGTACTTGAATTCTGATCTGGCTGTGCGCTGTTTAAATATCCTAGCCTATTAGTGTCTCTGCATGGTCAGCGAGTGGGGGGAAAAAAAAGTTCAAGACACCTGCTTATTAGTCTTACATTAAATAAATACTATTCTTTTCCTCTAAAATTTCTTATTGGACTCTCCAGCAGTTAATCAGGAAGCAGAAGTATCCCTCTGGAATGACAAGAGTAATTACTGTGCATTCTGCTTTGCTTTTAGGCCCGTCTGTTTTAATGGATGCCATAGTCTTTTGAAGATGCTTCGAGGTGCGTCTAGCTTCGGAGCTGTTATGCATTGCATCATGTCAATCTGTAGCACTGTGGATATTGTTTTGTATGAGTATTATGCATTGTACATCAATGCATCATGCCTGTCTGCTGTACTATTGATTGCTATGATACCACATAACACACAAAACGACATACACAGTCACTGAGTGGAAAGTGTAGCCATTTTTTAACCTGAATTTTGAAAAGGATTACAAGATGCACCTCCGACTTCAAAATGGGTAGTAAACACACCCACCACCTCCCCTGGAGCAACAGAGAAACTCTCTCATGGGGCACCACCTTTTGTATATGCAGCTGGTCAGCTTTTATAAATCCTGTCCATCTCAAAAAATTTTACTTTATGGGATAATCTTTCTTGTACATCTGCTGCAGAGACAGGGACTGGTGTACTAACCAGTCTGGATTCTCACACTGCAGTTTAAAGCTTTTTGAAAGTATCCTGATCTTGTACAAAGTTAAACAGCAAATCAAATTACAACATTTTACTATTGCATTTCAGGAAGACTTTAGAAATGTACATTTTCTCTCTTCTTTTTCTTTCTTTATTTTCCTTGCTTTTCACCAACAGTATACTATGACTTCCTTTGCCTCAGTTCTGTACATTGGCTGTTGTCTTGTGTAACACCTGTCTAAATGTTGAGGATTTGGTGTTTCATAATGTGTATATATATTTTAAAACTACTGTTTCTGAAAGAACTGCACTTCTTTCTACCAGTAAAGGAGAAGTTGTGGTGCTCTTGATTTCCCTCGCTTTAGTCTGCCAGGAAAACTGCATCATCCCCCCTTTTGACAATTCTCCTGCTTGGCATGAATAAAACACATCTTCATCTTTGTCCCACAGAGATTTTTCTAATATACTTTATATGCATGTGCACTTTGGCTGAAAAGATCATGATGAATCAATGTTATCTAGTGTGTGGAAACAATCAATTTTAAAAGCTTCCGTCCCTTCTCCTCCCTGATATTTGCTCTAATGTGAATATCGAGTCTCTCTACTATGTGTCTTGCCAGCAAGTTTACTCCAAGGTGACTACATTTTGTTAAGAAATTGATTTGGACACACTATAATTAATGTGTTGACTTTAGTCCCAGGTGGAGGAATACAAACAGTTGAAGGACACGCTCAACAAAATGCCAAGTTTCCGACAGCCTGAGAAGTTAGAACGACCAAATGAGCAACCAGAGGTGCGAGCACCATCTCCCCGCAGTGACCTCCCAATGCACCATGAAGCTGTGGCTGAAGAGCAGAAGGAGGTATAAAGTACTCATTGGCTACAGATGCTATAAGAAGTGGTTCTTATTCAGCAAAATACTAGCTGCGTGCTTAACTTCCAATAGAAGTGTATGTTTAATTGTAGATGTTTGTCAGTTCTTGAGTGAAGAAGGAACAGTTTAATCTTATTGAGTAGTAGAAAACTATATTCATGATGACCTTTTCTCACATGACTGTAAATGCACGTAAAACTGATTTATGTAAGCTGTTTTAAAAAGTTGCTAAAAACCCTAATTTTTTGAATTAGTGGTCTCTCAAATTTTAGACTACAGAAAAGTTTTGACAAGTTCTGAAGAAATTGCCTTTTCACATACTTTGTAAAGTTTCAGTGGCACACTTAAGTCAGTATATTTAAAATTGGCACACTATCCATTGTTCAAAAAGAAACAAACAAAAGTCATGGGTAAAGTCTAGAAGTTAAAAACATTAGTTTTAGTTTTGTTTTACAAGAGTTCTTGGCCAGCAGAACCTACAGGAAATAAAAATACAAAGCTTCCTTTGTAGATATGGAATTGTAATAGTTTTGTTCCACTTCAGATAAAACGAGGCTTAATCTTCTTTGTGATGCAATTGTACAACACCTTTTGTAGCTGTGCAGAGCCAAGAATCAGGTATTGATTCCGTTTCACAGGAGGGGTAGCTTGTTCCAAAGCAGGCATTTGGCTCTCCTGACAACAGCTTCACTACTGCAGGCTGGAATGAAGGATATCCATATCTGGTCCTTGGCTCTCTTGAAAATATGAAATCCATAATATCTTCTGCACACATGATCTTGTGTATGTTTTGCAGAATGAGAAGCAAAAAGAGAGAGAAGAAATAAATACCCAGGAAAAAGACGACAGAGCTGAGCCTTTTCATCTGCAAAGAAGGGCTAACGAGGGCCGGCATGCCAAAGAACTAAATATTCAGGAGCAACAAGAAGCTGGAGAGGATGATGAGCAACGTGTTGATCAAGTTGAAGAGGAACGCAAAAAAGAACTTGAAGAGGAAGAAATGGAGCAGGCAGGTCAGCCTGAGCACTTGGAGGAGGAACAGGATCAAGTACCAGAAGACCATGACTGGAAAAAACAGGAACAGAAAGAAGAAGAAACGAACATGTTGGGTGATCACTTCCATTCAGAGGTATGGAGCTCTTTTCTTCTCTACTAATTTATTAGATTTGCTGTTTAAATGGAAGCATCTCTTATCATTGCTGGCCCTGTATTGCACTTGCCTATTTCTAGGTAAAATCAGTGTCATGTTTATAGAAAGTTTGGGATTCAAAGCACTTGGATGCATAGGATTCAGGCTCAACTTCAGCACACACATACTGCAGTGCTTGCCAAATGCAGCTTAATGAACATTAATTCTGCTGATAAAAAGCAACAGATGGAAAAAAAGAGCAGTCAGGTTGAATCCCATCTCCTACTTTAAATTTGAGGCCTGTGGTAGCTGATGGGAAGAAGACAGAATGAGACTTAGCTTCAGCACTTTGGAGAGCTGTCCTGCCTTACTAATTTGATGCATCTCAGCAAATTGCAGTGTTTCCTTGTCAGATATAACTACCTTCTGTAAACACATTTCCATCTAAACATTCGCTGTCATTTGACAGGAAATTTTAACTGCAAGATGAACATGACTAAAATAGCCAGGGGAAATCAGTGCGCAGCAATGGCAAGTCTTGGTCTATGCAGCTCTAAATAAAACCAGCAAATCCTGGATTTACATTCTAGATCAGATCTCCAGTGGAAAATACATTTTACTGATCTCAGTTTAGGCTTTGTAAACACTCTTCTAGCAGATTAATTGTATAACTCCAGTGTGATGAGAAGCCATTGTTGAAGAGATGCAGTGGATTAGAACAGGAGCAATTAGTTAAGCTGTGAAACTAAAGTTAGTTTTAAGTTACTGCTGGCTGTAGAAAATGTGCAGTGTCTCACTTAAGGCTCAAAGCAACCCCTGCTGAGTCAATGGAAGCATATTCGCTGTCTTAATTGTCAGCCATCAAAACTTTCTTTTACTGGTAATATGTTGGGGCATTTTAGTATTATTGATGTGTAAGAAAAGCATGGCTTCTCCCAGCATCTCCTCTTCTTTCCCCATGTCCTCCACAAACATACCAACACTTCCAGTCTGTGTTCAAAAAAATAATTAAATTTTAAGCAGAGACAAGAAAACTTAAAATAACTTTGCTGTAATTTTGCCTACTGCATGTAGCATCTGTCTTGTCACAGGTTTCTGCGTGCTTGTTTCTGATCATTGAAATTATGATTAATCTATGACTAACACATTTCTTTGACAGATAACATCAACAAAAGCTGTAACAAAAAGACATAAGCCAGCTTATGAACAACAACTAGAGCAGCAACAGCTTGCAGCCCAAAGAGCAGAGGAAGCCAATCAGCTACGAGAACATCAGGAATTGCTACACCAGCAAAGACTGCGAGGACAGCTATTACGGCAGCAACAGCTTCAAGAAAAAGAGCTTCAACTGCAGAAACAGGCAGAACAAGGAGAAAAACTCTATAAAAACCGGCTAAGGTTAAATCCTTCTACATGTGTTTATCATGGTCTGTGCTTTAGGTTTTATGGTTTCCACCATACCACCTTTGAAAAGAGGGTGGTTTAACACTATAAACCTAGACTGCCCATAAACTAAATCCAGTGAGCCTTATCTCCTCCTTTCCAAGGATAAATCTGATTGCTGTTTTAAGGTTTTTTTCTTCTTGCTATGGAAGCCTCTGAAGTCTGGAATAACAAGTGTACATTGCCATGCACATCCTTGGGAGAGGTTAGGGGCTTCTGGCATACAATGTCCCTTGTCTTAAAGCTTGCTTTAAATTAGTAATTACTTTCTGCTAAGCAGCAATTATGATCTCTTCATACTGAGGAGATCCAGTATCAGATATGTAATAAGTACCTAAGCTAAAGTTCCTCTTAAATGTGAGATGCTGTTTCTAAGTAATTCCATGAGGACTTTCTGGACAAGAGTGACTAGTGTTATTTGCACTGTAGAGACAAAAGCATGATTTCAGGAGAAACCAACACTCTGTTAGTGTCACAAAATTATTGTGAATGCAGTTACATTCATGATATTGTAGCTTCTACATGCCTTTTACCCTCCCTGTCATATTCCCTTATGCTTAGTTTAAAATTGTTAGTGACAATTTTTTGTCTTTTGGAATCTTAAGCCCATTGAATTTTCTTTGCTGAAACATTGAAATATTAATTATTAACTTGACCCATGTTCTAGAAGGATTTTGGTATGAGAGCGCCTTTCATAAATTGATAGTCAAAATACTAGTCCTGCAAGAACAACGACACAAGCAAACCCCTTTGAAGATGAAAGCTAAAACTGCTTATTCAACAGAATAACTGATCCATGTAGTCTGTCTTTAAGACCTTTTATCTGAGAGGTTCTTTGCTTCCAGTTCATAGTATTTGTGCTTTGATTATGGAATATACTAGCTTAGGAGTTTTGAAAATACAAAGCGGATCCCATTGATATATAGAGAAATACAAGCACAGAAGTTAGTATAGTAGGACAAGAAAGTCTTTGGTCTATGAAGTTTATCTTCTTTCAGGAAAGGTGATGTGAAAACATACTAGGTAATAGAAAGCTAAACTGGAACCCATTCTGGCAGGAGCTGGGAGGGGCAGAGATGTAGTAGGATGGTTTGTTTATTAAAGCAAAACCACACTGATTTGAAACCAAAATGATGTATTTGCATTTAATTTTCTCAGCCAACAGGCTCATTATGATAACATGGACCATGATATTGTACAAGGGGAAGAAGAGCAAGGTATTCAGGAAGAGGAAGGAGGTAAGATAAAATGTGTGTCCCTACCATGTTCGCAGGTTCCCTGTGAGATTTTAATATTCATTTCATACCCAGTTTGGATTCAAGTGAAATATAAACTCACAATTTAAAATCAGAAGCTCACATAACATTGGTTGAACTGACTGAGTGAAATACAGGAGTTACTAAAAATCATATCCACATTCCTGAAAGGAAAAGTGTCCTTGTGATTGAGCTGCTAGGATAGGGCTTTGTGGATCTTGGTTACATTCCTGGCTCTGCCTATGATTTTGTTTGATCTCTTCAAATTGTATAATCTTTCACTGTCAGTATCCTACTAGCAGTAAAACAGTTCTGTTAGCATTATATGTTCAGGTAGGCTCTTTAGGTAAAGGCTGCCTACTGTTAAAAGCATGTATGGAAGCTAGTATATAGGAGGCTCTCAAAAAGGCTAAATAAAAACTGCTGTAATACAGTAATAATGTCAAAAATTTGTCAGCTTATGAACATGACAACCACCACCAGGATGAAGGTGAAGATGATGATCAAAATAATCCAAATGAACAGCAAGAACCAGAACATCAAGAAGAAAATCAGCAGGCTGATGAATCAGTGAGTATGAATTAAGATGCTATGGATTGCAGTCGTTACTGAACTAAAAACCCAGAAGTCTCATCTAACATAATTGCACGTTACAGAAATAAGATGAACCAGAGGTCTGCTAGGAAGACAAGTTTGACAGTTTAAAACTACATCTAAGATCTATTTAAAGTTGTCCTTACTGATTTGGGAAGAAATCAAAAAAAGCTTCCTTGTTGGAAGGAAGTTGTTTTTCTACATTCCTTTGATCCGTGCTTTAGGTGGAATAAAGGATTTGGATTTAGCTGGGACTTGAACAGATAAACTTGGATTAAAAAAAAAACAACAGCAGTAACTCATTGGTGGTCAGTCAAAAAGGGAGGTGACAATATTTTTATGCTATGAGTAGTTAAGAGGGTAAGAGCCAACTGAATAGCCACTGAAACCAGCTGGAGTCAGTACAGAAGAAGTGTGAGATCTTGAAAGACAACATACCTCAGCACTGAACACAGCCATGATATTGATTGCACAGAGATCTGGATGCAGGAGATTCAGTCCTGCGCCTTCCCCCAAGTTCCATCTTACTTGGCATTGTGGAACATAAAGCGTATCATCTTCACTCCCTTCCCCCTCAGCAAATTAGAGTTGTATAGTAAATATTCCTAAAGGATATTTAACTTGTCAGCTGTGAAGATATCAGAAATGCTTTTACTGAATGATAAGCAGAAAGAAAATGCTCATTTTCTGAATGGCAAACTATGATGAAAAGCAAGTCTTGTTTTCTTTTGTTTTATTATAGATGTAGACAAGGTCAATATTGCAGGACAGACTGGTACTGAAAGATCACATCAGCTCTTCTGAGCTCTGAGCATTTAAAGTCTTATCTTTTTTGCACCTGGTCTTATCAGGCATTGTTGTTGTCAGATAGTCAGTAAACAAAAGGAGTTCTACAGCCTATGTGAAATAAGTCATCAGATTCAATCTGCTTTCTAGCAGATAGACAGACCTGCAGTTCTGTCTGTGTTCAGTGCTGAAGTTTTTTCTTTCAGGAACTGACACTTGTGGATGGGCTAGGGTTTGATCTACTGACCCCTGACACCTGTAGAGAGGTTCCAGCTGGTTTCAGTGGGTATGGAGTTGGCTCTAACAGAGCTCATGCTAGGGGTAGCTTTCAAGTGAAATGGAATTTGACTGTGAGATAAAAGTATTTAACATTCACTTCTGAAAATTACAGAAGGCAGCCATGGAAGATGTGAATCCTGCTGATGACCCCAACAATCAGGGAGAAGATGAATTTGAGGAAGCTGAGCAAGAGAGAGAAGAAAATCTACCAGATGAAAATGAAAAGCACAAGCAAACCAGTCAGAAACAAGGACATCCAGGAATGGAAGAGCACCTAGTGGTCAGTAAAGGGAAAGGAAACATTTGTAGGTACTCTTTAAGGGCAGTTTAGCACAGCTTGATGAGAGAACACTGAACTTTGACTTCTAAAGATTTCTTTTAAGCCATATGACATGCACAGGTAAAGTGTGGAATTACTTCTGGTGATACACTGGTGTGTCTTTCATCACTGGCTCCACTCAGTGAGGTGCTGTAGTCTCATAGTTCAGGGCCCCTGTGTTTTACCTTCACACAAGCCCCTGCAAGAACACCCATTCATACAATCAGGTCTTTGCACAAATCCCTTCTATGCCACTTCCATGCCAACAACAATCAACTGTAAGCAGTGGCATCACTTTCCTTCTATGGCCATTCCAGTGAATGCTGTGCATTTCAACCATGTTTAAACTGTGAACTCCTCCAGGGAGAGATAACCTGTATTTTTCTGGCATTAGTCTTTAATGGTGTGACTATTTCATTGTCTTCCTGCTTAGTATGGAAAGTCTTGCTTTATTCTGTGAAGTGATTTTTATTATAATCATTCTGCTGTCTATTTTTTAATTTAGGGCAGTTCTAAATCATGTAGCCAGGCTATCATTAATGCTAATGAACACACTATAACCATATATAGTTATATACTATATATAGTATATAACTATAACTTCTTATGCTATTATTGTTACTTTAGCTTTACATAAAGTTTTAGTTCCAGAACAAGAAGCTTTAACCTTCAGTCTTCTAAAGCTAATAGGCATGCACACAGAACTGAATTTTTATATGATCTTTCTGCAGATGGCAGGAAATCCTGACCAGCAGGAAGATAATGTGGATGAACAATACCAGGAAGAAGGAGAAGAGGAGGTAAGAAAACAGACATAAGGCATATGTGGACTCAGGTAGCATAGCATGTCTCCATTCATGTTCAACATTGGTATCTTTTGTAACTACAAGATGAACCCAAATCACTTTGCCTGACTTCATGAAACCTAGGAAGTCTTTGCCATTACTCTGGTGTCCACTTCTGGACACACTTAGTATTACTCATACTTATTTGCTGCAATCCATTAGTCTTCCATGCAACACAGGATTAATTGTGCAAAAATTGAAAAGATTAAGCCATTCACAACAGAAGGAAAAATTCCCAAAAACATCAAACCCTCCACAGGTCACTAAAAAACCCCAACTTTGCATCTCTAATCGCATGCTGCTGTTCTGGGCAAACTGCTTCCTTGGCCAGTTACTTGCTCTTTAGCTCTGACCTTGATTTATCCTCCTAAGCAATCCAAGTTCTGTAAGCCCCTACTGTTCATGGAGTCAAATAGTCAGGAAGCTCTTAGCACATTGCTTTGAACTGGAGGAGAAAAGGAGAAGGGACTTTCTTTTGAATGTTGAATGGCATGCTCATTATGCATGTGCTAGCATAAGTTGCCCTGCAGTTCTTCAATACATACCTAATCAATTGCTATTTTCTACTTCATACACAATGATTTACAAAAAGCAATAGAAACAGCTACTCATTACTCCCTTATGGGGAACACTTTGTCTAGATTAGCTGGTACGCACGTAGAATTCACCAGTTCAAAATACAGTAGCTTAAATCAAATCAGGTCATTAGGAACTGGGAATAGTTGGCCTTTGGCAACTACTCTTTGGCTTACAGGAAGTAATTTAATACAAGTTTCATAAAGGACTATGACCAGTGTGCTTACGGGAAGTATTAAAGAGTGAACAGTGATTGAATGAGCAATCAAGAAAGAGTTAAGATGCTGTAATCAGGAATAGTCTCTTTAGTAGGTAGACTCTAATATTATACATTGCTGTTGTTCAGATCTTTCCCATATATCGCTCAAAGCAATCCAGGTTTGATGGCTGCCCTTCTGCTGGCAGCAATACCTAACCTCAGAGAACTTGTTCACGAGCAGCTTTGTCTGTCGGAAGCAATTGCTAAATATACTCTCCTGCTACCGATGATGTTGAGAAGGCTGTTGCTGCTGTTGTTCAGGAGAAGGTGATAGCAGCTGCTAGAGGCAGGGAGCCCTGTCGAAAGCAGCAATCTCATCCTTGCTCTTTGTGGCAGGGGTAGGTGGCAGCACTGAGTGGTGAATGCTTCCCAGCCAGGTGAAACAGCTTTTTTTTTTCCCATGGGGACAGCTGTATGGCCTTACAGCAGCATTTTACCCAGCTTGCAGGGCACCATTTGGAGCAGATACACATAACAGCATTGTCCAAAAGAAAAATCAAGTTTACTTTGAAAAGCATGCCTCTTTCAAATCTGCACCTAACCATAAAAGGACATGGAAGCGAGGGAGAGCACTAACATAAAAGTGCTGGATCAAGATCTGAACACCTGGAAAACAGAGTCAGTGTGGCCTGCTCTCTTCAAGGATAGAGTTGGAAGAGATTATTCTTCACTCCCAGTCCTACCTTGTTCCTTTGTGGTTTTCCAGGAGCAATTAGCAGAAAGATCGCTCAACTGCTGGGAAAACATGGACAAAGTTACCATTAAATACCTACCTTGCATCTCAGAACTGAAATAGTTCTAGGAGTCTGGGGGGGGGTGGACGTGTCAGTTAATGACTCTTTGCTATGTCACAACAGTCTTACCATGAAGGACAAGGAGAAGATAATACGTATGTAAAGTTAAAACATGGAATGGAAATCTAAATGTGTTAGCTGTGAAAATTGTAGTTAAAAGTTAAGTATGGTCTGAGAGGAAGCAAGTTTCCCAATTGTTGGGGGGTGGGGGTGGTTGTGTTCCTCCTTTAACCTCTCCATGCCCTCTCCTCCCTTTCTTTTGAATCTTCATTCTGTGAAAGTGTAGCTGTGAAAACGTGTAGATTTACACCACAGGCTACTTTTTTAAAGGAAATTAAAATACACAGAACATCTCTGTGCTTTGTAGATCCAGGAAGATTTGACTGAAGAGAAGAAACGAGAACTGGAACGCAATGCTGAAGAGCCATATGGTGAAAATGACGAAAATGTAAGTACTGTGTAAACCCACAAACTCGGTGACACGATTAAACACTTAACATAACTGCAATCATGTCACAGTGACATTATGTAATAATTGTTGTAGCTTGCTTTCAATCAAAGACCTTAAAATTTCATGCTGTCCCAACTTCCTTTTGCTCATTCTTCCACCCCCACATCAATTCTTGCTGCCTGGAGGACTTTGGAAAAATCTTTTACTGTTTCTGTCCATCAGCACTAACAACCCCAGCTGACAGTCATTTTTCCTTTTCCTTAACTTCATCTCATCACCTTAAAATAAACTATAAGGAAACTGGCAGTTGTACTGAATCTGTGTTTTGGGTTTTTTTGTTTCCCCCTGCCCCCAATCAGGCAGATGAAAAGAGTAACAGAGGAGCAGATCAAGAAATGCAAGAAGAGAACAACCAGAAAGTTCATGAAGAAAATTATGAGGAGGAAGAGGAGGAAGAGGAGGAAGGCCGAGCTGTTGCAGCAAAAACTCGTAGACGAGGGGAGATGTAGTCGTCTTTTTTTTAAGCACACAAATTCCTGTGTTTTGGTTTTTGTTTGTTTTAAAAAAACAACAACTTTTTTAGGATATTTAATTTCCCAAAAAGTTTGTGTTTTACACTTTTTACTTTTCTATTAGAAGCTCTCATATGTTTATATGAATATGGTATTTTGATACTCTAGCTTAGTATTTCTTTTCTATTAAAACTGTACATAAACAGACATCATAGGTTTAATTTTTTGTAATGCTGGGCATGTTTTATAAAGGCCATCTTGGAATACACTTTTACCTTGTCCAAGCCTGACAGAGGTGTTTGGTCTAATTTCAGATACATTCAACACTTGAGGGAATATATCTAGTGCCTAAACCCAGTCGACATTAGTCACTCCAACTCTCATTGTCTTCCTTGACACAACTTTTATGACTAATGCCTGGCCACACTACCCATCCGAGGCATGATCTGCGGTGCTTGTAGAGGCCCAGGGGTAGTTTCATTCATTATCTCATAAGATTCTTCAAATCCTTGAAGATAAGCACATGCCTAGCAATCTGCAGGACCAGGCCTTTTATGGTGCAGAACAGTTATAAAATATGCAAGTTTTACAAGCCTTCAAAATACAGCCAGGTTAACAGCTGTTAATTTTGGCAGCTGTTTATATACAGTTAAATTATGCATTTATTTTAATGAGCATACCTAGGTACTTTAATTACATGCACTACATAGCAGATAATGCAAATGGTGGTATGCCAAGATGAGATGCGAGCTAGAAACCAATTTAGACTTGAAGATCCATTATGCCAAATCAAAACACTACAGCTGTCACATGAATGAAGATTTACAGAAGGAACAATTTTGTTGTTCTAGTTAATATATAAAATGTTTGACCGGAGAAATATAACTACATCACCTCAGTGACATGCTTTCTGGAAACTGTAGAAAGAGTTAAGGCATGTTAACTGAGTTGACATGATTGGTGCAAGATGTTGAATTAAGGCCTTTACCTTCTTTTACTTATTTATTTTTAAGTCTATACTGGAAGGATTTCTGTGTCACCTAGTGTGACAAATCAGACTAGAGACTAATCCTACAGAAGTTTTTTTTGAACAGCAAACATCTCTAGCACTGCATGCCAAAATGTAAGGGGCAGGGGGAAACCACACAAAAATTGTGCCTTGGTAGGCTACTATGAACATAATCACAGTGCATGAATATATACAATATTTGTATTGGTACAGACCCTAGTTATTTAATATATGTTAAAAGGAGAATGGGAATCTGGATTTCCTAGGCTATGCCCCATTGCTGGAAATGAGGCGCACAGTAGCTCCCCGTGAAAGTGTGTGTTAATATATAAGAAGAGAACGTTTGAGGTTTTTTTCCCTTTTTTAATGATGATGCATAGCAATGTTTTTAGTTTAACTTTTTATATGAATGTAATTTAATTCATTTTTCTACTAACTCAATTATCTTATGTTTTATAGTTGGTTTCCATTCTTTGCAATTTTCCTAATGTCCCAGACACAGTGCTTATATTTCATAGGAATATTTTTGTCGGCAAGTACTTTGGGTTTTCTAGTTACCATAAATCAGATTTACCTTATGTATAAAAAAGTTTACATGATACTGTAAAATGTATAATATGTACATAATCTTCAGAATACAATTATTTTGTTAAATTGGCCTGTATTTTTAATGTCACAGTTGCAGTATTTAATTATTTGAGGCATAATAAAACTTGACTGCAGTCAATAAACTAGAATATAGTTACTGATCTTTCACACGTGTGATGGTTTGTTGTAGTTATCCTAATGATGCATTCATACTCAATAGAGCACAGTGGAGACTGGCAGAGAGAGGGAGGGAGCTCAGAGCCACTTTTCAGGGGTTTCAGGGAAGCGGAACAGGGTAAGGACCAACATTAGCACTAGTGGCACTTTTAGCATTCTGTGAATGTGGTCTTTAAATCATTGTTGCAACTGAGGTCCTTCTCCATCTAGAGCAATAAAGCATCTTGGCCTTTTTTATCAAACATGGGCCTGTGAAAGAGGAGGAGGGAGAGCCCAAACCCTTTTCTGCACAAGCTTCTCACACAAATGGGAGCCGTTGTCCTCTCTCCTGCCCACCCCACGGTGGGGGAAGCCATCCCTGCTGTCCACATTGGGCCCACTCAAGCTGGGAGGAGAGCCCTTCCTGGCAGAGGAAGACAACTAACTCTGAAGGTACAGGTACATACCAGAATACAAAGGGCTCTGTCTTTTTCACAGTATCTCTCACCTATAGCAAGCCATATGCTTCAAGCATTTACATTAATGCATACAGCATTGCCTGTGGAGACATGGAGAACACAAGACTCCATTCTGCCCCACTTACAGTGTGGAAAAAGCCACTTCCAAAGCCATCTGCAGGTACAAGTGACCTACCAGCACAGCATCTTTGCACCAAAATAAGCTGCTGCTTACTTCTCTGCCTTTGCTTCAGCAATTTGCTGGCTGCAAATGAAATTAAGCAGGTGCTCGCATGTTCTGCTGGCTTGTGGGCCCTGCTGTTGCCCAGGCCCCTGGGTGCAGAGCATGTTTATTAAGCAGCTTTGACAATGTCCTTTTGTTTACTGTCAGGCTGCTGGGCTTCACTTGGATAACTTGTGGCTGCAGCAAGAGCCTAGAGAGACAACAAAACTCTGCCCAGAACGAGAAGCTGCAGAATAAGGGCTCCCATTGTGCGTTGTACGAGCCAGTATTCACAGCAGATGCAATATTTACTTCAGCAAACATAACAAGTTCACATCTAATGTGATTAGGCCAAGAAAGTCTTAATGAAAGCCTGTTCTGTCCTTAATCAAGGGCCTATTCACTTCAGACAAGAGTTACTTGACTGAAGATCAACTTTCCGAGTAAGAGTTCAGGCTTGGCTGACAATAGCGGCGTGTAATCTCCGTAACTCGCCCCAGCCACTGCTCTAGCAGTGATGGGTTGTGCTTTCCCACAACTCCCCAGCCAACGTTGCTCCCTGCCAGCGTCTCAGGCTTGGCGTGATTCAAACTGCAATTCCTCGGTTCTTCCAAGGACCTTTTTGCAAAGGCTAAGGGCAAACCACACAAGACCTTGTCCGACTGCCTGCTCTGTAGCTGCTCAACCTCAAACGATTCTGACCTCTTTGCCCGACACACATCGCTTAGTGCCAGACCTTGCGGTCCCGTTTGGTAGATGAGCTGGTGGTGAAGGCGGACCCACACGGCTGGTCCTCATCGCCATAGGATGTCTTTCGGGATACAGGGAATGCTGAATGCTTTGCTAAATCAAGGAATTAATGTGCTCATGTGACCTAAAAATAAACAGGAGATGGTCCACTGCTCCAGCCCTGTGGGCATACAGAACAAATGGCAGAAGGAAATGCCCTCGGTTTTACTGCTCACAGAGCGCGACTCCGAGCATGATGCTGTGGCAAAGAGGACTAATGAGTCTCCCACACCAACGGAGTGAAAATATGAATTCAAAGGGAAAGGTTACATCACTTCTGGATTTGGCAGCAGCAAGACAGCTATTGGCGTACTGTGACCAGGTCTAGCAACCACTCATCAAAATATTGGAGACCATTCAGGGAAAAGGGTGCAAATAATGGGAAAACTGGGCTTATAGAAAGAAAGTTCATGCTACAAATAGCTCAGGAAAGAAGTGATCATGGGCTAGGAGAACCCACAGAGGCAACCACCTGATGAGACAGGGGTCATCAGCCTCCCAGAGAAAAGCAAAAGAAAAATCCCACAATAAAATTCAGGCCAGAAATACAGCACACATGTTTAGTAATGGAGCTAATTAGGCATTGCAGCAATTATTTTACAGGCTGTGATGAATTCTTGATCACTAGACATCTTTTAAAAGTCCTAGTTCAGCCCCAGCTTGGGCATCATGAAAGAAGTCCTACTGCCTACAATAAATTGAAAGGTCAGTCAAGAGGATCATAATAGCATGCTCGAGCCATAAAATACATGAAGCAATAACACTCAGTGGGAAAAATAAAATCCAGTGGAATTCATTCCGTAGGTCAGGAAATCTTCCAATGGATCAGATACAATATCTCGCCTCAGTAAAACGACCGCTCCTTGCCACATCGCCTTTAACAGCTCTGTGTACATCAGGGAGTTTGAAACCACTTGCAGGCTGAAAGCCACCGTGCACCATCAGGGTCCTTCTCAGCACCAGCGTGCAAACAGCACACTTTGTGTCCGGGTTTTGTCCAAATTATGAAATGCCAGCATGCTAACTTACAGCTTGATCTAACCCAGGCTGAAACGTGAGTTAGATAGCTGTACTTTAAAGCAAACAGAAAAAAATCACTGTGACTAAGAATGAAACACACAGATACACTTGTCATCGAAGTACAAACTAGTTTCTGGCAAGTTTTATCCCCTTTTACTGCAGCTTTTCATGACAAAGGAGCTGCAGAGCAGTCGTTGCTAAAAATGACCTTCACTCAGCTTTTCAAGTCTGAGCACATAAAATGTGTTTACTCTGTGCACAGAACTTCTTACTTAGCTACATGCAGGAAATAAATTTATATCATTACAGCCAAAATGTTTGCAGGGTGAAAGGAAAGAGAAACCCAAAGCCACATATCCAGGGCAAGATAAAAAGTTGCCTCCATACACCTAACACATCATCAGCCTTCAAACAAGTTTCCTTTCCACAGGTCTTGCTTTAATAGTTCTTGCTGGTTCAAATGTAAAATTATTCATTATTTTCTCATCATTGTCACTTCTAAAGGGAATAAAAACCCAAATAACTTTGCCATATCTACTAAGAAAGTAATTTTAAATTTTTATTAGAAGTTCAGTGTATTAAAGGTATTTATCAGCTCTGTTATAGTCAGGGATTCAGCTGACCAGATTAGCAATGCCTCTACTTGTTCCTACATGCTGAAATGCACAATAGAAAATTCACAGGCATGTTGTTATCATTAACCTATGAATCCTTGAAACACAATCATTGCACTGTAATAAATATTTTGTTCTCA